TCAATCATTTTTTCTTTCTTTTTTTGTACATTTTAAACTCCTGTTACTATTTATATTTTATACTCATAATCACTCTCCACCCACAACGGCCTCTGGTAAACACTTTCTACTTCTTAATACTATCAGTAGATGACGTTTCTTGGTTCATAATTATACCTGTTGGTGATGACACTTCCTACTTAACATTACCAGTTGATAACATTTCTGGATTCTTGATAATATCAGTCTGTGACACTTCCTACTTAACATTACCAGTTGATGACATTTCTGGATTCTTTATAATAGCAGTTTAAGACACTTCCTACTTAACATTACCAATTGATGACATTTCTGGATTCTTTATAATAGCAGTTTAAGACACTTCCTACTTAACATTACCAATTGATGACATTTATGGATTCTTTATAATAGCAGTTTAAGACACTTCCTACTTAACATTACCAGTTGATAACATTTCTGGATTCTTGATAATATCGGTTGGTGACATTTCCTACTCCATACTAATACCAGTTGGTGAAGCTTCATACTTCTTAATAATATCAGCCGGCGATACTTCTTGCTATTTCTAGTTGGAAACATTTCTAGCTTCTTAATATGCACACAAGCAGACAACTCGCAAATGATGGAACATAAATGCCAGAGGAACAATGTTACTCATTATATACACTTTTCTGCTTCTTAATATTACCAGCTGGTGATACTTACTGATTCTTAATATTACCATTCTGGTCGATCTCATAATGAGTTTCCCTGGAGATTCTCATCCTCAAGAACTCTAAACCATTGTCAGTCTGAGGTCGCATCCTTGATCTTCTTTCTAGGAAAGTAAAGGGTTAATTATGTTTTATCAAAATGATTTTGAATATGCAAATAAGCATACGTAACAACCACAGTTGATACAAAGTAATGATGGAAGTGTATTTAACAGCCCTTTCTAACGTAAAATTTGCAGACACTCATATCATAAAAATGTGTTAAGGTCAAGGAATTGGAGTTTCCAAGACGAGGATATTGCTTGTACTCAATGGCATTGGAAAACAAAGGAATATGGATCAACTTGGGGACCCAGGACCATTCAGAAAGAGACCTGTAACAAATTGTACACAGCTGTGATAAATAAAGTGCATTATCTTGTAACAAGTAATAATCCATGAATACAAAGTTCAGTAGCAAAAGAAGTCCTCGTGTACCAGGCAATAGTACGAAACATTATCAAGAAAAATCTCTGTCTGATAACGAGGTCAAAAAGGTATGGTTCACCAAGATCAGGATTACAGTCGTACCAGGTACCTAGTCATATCTTCCGTTGAACCGTCTTTTACTTCAAGCAGATGGATAAAGAAACAACTATTCATTCTGCCACCTACGAAGAAATGCTGATTTTGTGATCGGCACTTGAAACTGGTGCTGGGAAATCGTTCTTATACATTAGATACATTATGGAAAGCATGGAGGGAAAGTGGTGTGTTTTAGACATTACAGCCTAATTATGGACCTTTTACAATGGAAATGAGGATGAGGCAAAGTTGTAGCAGCATATCATGAGAAAAACTAGGCATTTATTGTATTCCTATTGACTGCATCCGCGAGTCAAAAACAAAATGGTCACGGCTTCGAGAAGTTATAGAATATAGAAAGACTGGGAATTCAGATAGGTCGATATATATACAGCCTTACGATCAGTGTTCCCTCTAAGCTGCGCGCCAGCACAAGAACTAATCAAGTGTCGTGAACATCCTCAGTTATAGTGAGGAGTCTCAACACTTTGACGGCCTTAATGATCTTGGCAGTCGATAGGCCTAAAGCCCAAATAACCAACTGATAGCATTGCAAAACAGTCCAATAGGGTCAATGGTCTCAAAATATCTTACGCTCCAAAAAAAAAAAAAAAACTGGTAGCGCAATTTGCACATTGCTTCGATACTGATGAGCATGAAAAAATTCATTCTGTACATGGATTGAAAAAATTAGAGGAAACATTGCTTACGACTTTTACAAAGCACGGTCTAATCAGTTGGTGTTCCACCGACAATCGTGAAACAAAACAAATACTTCACTCAGTTAATATTATATTGAAAAAATACTATAAACTCATTATTAAAATGTGGTAACAAAAGAGTTACAAGTCTGACTCTGAGCATGCACGATTACATCGCATAGCAACCGACGGGAAAAAATGATGATTGAAAAACTGTAATTTTCTAATTAGTAAAACAAACATCTTATATCCTGCACCTTCCAGGTTAGAGCTGGGGGAGGGGGAGGAAATCAATGTCTGAGAGGCAAGTAGCTCCCTTGATCCAAATAAAATGACGCCCCTGCTTATGACCCCTCAACTTTACTTAAAAATGGACCGTTCCATTTCTCACCTTTTTTTCGTCCGACATCTCTGTTCCTCCTACACATGCTCGTTTTCGTTTATCTAATTTGAATTGGAGGATTTTGCTCATTTAATTAAATATTGAGTATTTGCACGGTAAGAATAGAAATATTAACAAAAACCCTCGGTGTATCACGTGAAGAACTGAACAAAGCTCATAACAGTTATAGATAAAGTTCTGAGCAAGAATAAAAAATAGATGATATTTCTCGTTGTATAATTTCCAGATTTCTTCGATATTTCTAAGCTTTTAGAAACGCGTGAATACTTTGAGGTACAAGTCAAGCTTCGAAGCTATTCACAGATCTCTTTAAAAACTACCTATTGAAATCTGTTTCAGTTCTTTTGATAATAATATTTATTTACGTGACATCTATTTATTACACGATATATGTAAGAGATTTGCTTCTGAGATAAACAAACAAATATAGTTAATAGAGAGGTACATTAGATCTTACTGTAATAGACTGAAAAGGCCTGACATAGCCTAATGGTTAGGACTCGACTCCCAATTTAAAGGTCATGGGATCGAAACCTGTCGTCGAACATGCTCGCCCTTTCAGCTGTGGGGGCATTATAAATGACGGCCAGTCCAACCATTCGTTGGTAAAGAGTAGTTCAAGCTTTGTCTCCATTTGGTTTATTGACTATCGCTTCTATAGTAGGGCCTGCTAGCGCAGATAGCTCTCGAGTAGCTTGGCACGAATTTCAACAAACCCATAGTCAGAATACAGTTATGCAAAGCGATGTCTTTCATAAAATCATGTAAGCTGGCAGTAAAGATTAAAAATTATAGCGAAATACTTAAATTTGTTCTACATTTATTCGTAGATGAAAACTTTTGGACATAAAGTTTGGATTATTATTTGTTTATTATACTCTGTGATAACGGCGAATTCAACATTGTATTCATGTATCTGTGTTTTTAGTAACTACCCAGGTTATAGTAAAACATTGTTCTTTGGAACATATGATACCAAATTGTGTTGAAAACATGTTTCCTCTTTTCTTTAAAACTATCTGATTCTATAACGTAATTACATCATGAACAATTCAGAATGTATTATCGCGGTAGACACTGTTGTTGTTGAATTTTTTAACGTAAAAGCTACACAACGAACTATTTGTGTTCTGCCCATTTCGGACAATGTAGCCCGAGATTTCATCTGTATAAGTCCGGAGACTCATGCTAGATAAATGCAACCATTTCTTTTGGAAAGCATTCATAATATATATATATATCAAATATAGAAGTTAAAAGGTTACTTTCTTTAATGTTATTCATTCTTGGTCGTTTATTCAACAAGAAAACATAAAAACAGTCTCAAAACCACCTCTGACTTTTAACGTTGTGCGCAGTATCGATAACATCTTGAAACACAGTGTATGAATGAAATTGGAAATAAAAATTACTCAGCGGCGGTAAAAAAACGAACGAAAAAC